GCCATGCCTCTCAAGATATTTGGAAAAAAATTATAAAAGAAAATTAAACACCCACTACAGAACCATGCATGGTGTTATACATCTATAATCCCTACATTCCGGGAGGCTGAGGCAGGATTCCAAGTTTGAGGCCAGCCTGGGCAACTTTGCAACTCAGGAAGATCCTGTCTCAAAATAAAAAAATTAAAAAGGATGTGGATATAGCTCAGTTCAAAGGCCTTGGATTCAATATCCAATAGCGGGGGGAGGGATTAAATAAATACCCTTTAACGATTAAAAACATATGTATATAGGGATGTGCACGTAGGGGTCAGTGGTAGAGCATCGTTAAGAGAAAGACCCTAGATTTGTACCTCAACATTGGGGAAAAAGAAAAGAAAAAGAAATTCTTAACTAGATTTCTTTAAAGTTATCTACTAAAAACCTACCAATGACTTAACATTAAGTTGCAAAAATTAAAAGCATTTTCCTGGAATTTAGGAATAAGACAAAGATGTCTATTGTCCTACTTCTATTCAATACAGCACTGGCCAGTGCTATTAGTAACACAAAAAGAATAAACTGGAAAGAGCAAATCAAAGCTATAACCATTTGCATATCTTATAATTATTTTATGCAGAAAATCTAAGTGTCTTGCAGAAAACTAAAAAAGAGAGTTGAGAAAAGTGGCAGGATATAAGATCAACATGTCAAAAAAACCAATTTCTACCTATATTCCAGTAGAAATTAGAAAATGTAGTTTTTAAAAAAGAACTATGAGAATAAATAAAATTGTACAGAAAGTGATGCAATGTTATCAGAAGACATGAAAGAAGATCTAAGTAAATGATTGATATGCCATATTTATGGAAAGGAAGAATAGGCATCAAAGTAAGTGTTATTTTCAATTCTCACAAAATTAAATAATAAATATAACATAAATCAAAATCTGAATCGGTTCTCACATGCAAGACCAATAGGACAAGGATAGCCCAAGATATTCTTAAAGAGGACCAAACGGGTGAGAAGAAAGCGATCCATACTAACTGCTAACAGTTTATTGTTTCTTAAATTATTTAAGACACTGTGGCTTAAGCATAGAGATGGATCCAGTGGAACAGATCAGCAAGCCCAGAAAGGGAACCATATGGAAGCAGAACCTTAACATATAGAAGAGGTGGCGCTACAACTACAGGGGATAGGGTGGAATTTACCATTAATAAGGTGAGGCAGCTGGCAGAACCACTGAGCTAAATCCCCAGACTTACCATTAATAAGGTAATTGGCTATCCAGAGGGAGTTTTTAAAAAATTAGATCTTATTTAATTCTGTACACGTATATAAAAAAGTAAATGTAAACCAAAAATTTAAACATTTTTAGAAGAAAATTAGGGGTTGATCTTATGACTACTAAATGGGAAAAGGTTAATCAAGATACAAAAAGAAAAAGAAAAAGAAAAAACCTGACTACATTACCATGAAAACAAAGACAAATCCTCTCTTCAAGTGAAAAAACCAGCAGCAAACTAGGATACATACACAATTCACAAATGTAGTAGGTGTGGACTAACAAATGAGCATTTAGAATATATTTAAAGAACAAATTAATACAAACCAGGCAACTTAATGAGAAAATGGACAAAACATATGAACAGGCATTTTACAAAAAAGAAAACTTGTCAATCCAAAAAAATTATGAAAAGAATCAGTGAAATAAATAAGTCACACATGTGTAAATACTAAATAGCTTCTCTGGTGTGAAAAACTATAATAGTAAATAAGATCCTAATGATATAATTGACAATGTGAAATAGGAAGGAAAGGGCTAAAGGTGTAGGGAAAGTGGGAAGAGTAGGGGAAAGGTAATAAGGGAAAAGAAAAAAATAGGAGAAAATGAAAAAATGGAAATACAGTGTTTGTAAATAGGGAAGGGAGGAGGGGATGAAGGGAGGGCAGGGACAAGGGGAAAAAATGAGAACCAAGACCTGTCATGTAAAGGTACAAGATCCCAATAATGACTGTAACCGTACTATATATCTAAAATATACCAATAAACTCAACAAGAGAAAAAAAAAAAGAATCAGGAATCGGGAAATGTAAATTACAATGATAGTTCCTATCTGATTGTCAAACAACTGTTGGGAAGATAAGAAGTGACAGGAATTCCTTTTTATTGGTGAGACTATAAACTGGTATGACTACATTAGAGAGCAATTTGGTAAAATCCAACATTTCCATTCCCAGGTGTATACACACACTAAAGATTCTTTTTCACAAAGAGATATAAAAGGTTGCTTGCTTCAGAATTGTTTATAATAGGAAAAATCACAAATGACACAAACTCTCCTAACAGAACAGATAAATCACCAAATATTAATACAACAAAGTTCTATATACAACAGTTAAATAAAATAACAAAACCCCAGGTATGAACAAGGATAAATCTCAAAAAGTGATGAGGAAAAAAGAAGGTACAGAGGACGTATAAACTATATTTCATTTGTATAAAGTTAAAATTTACTAAATACTATTATATAGTTTATGAGAATATGTATAAATTAAAGGCATAAAATTATTCCTGTCAAGAATATGTATCAATTATGGAATAGTGATGCCTCTGAGGAGAAATAGAAAGGATGGGTTAAGGAGGAATGGATTCCAGGAGATAGTCATCTGTAACATTGTCTTTCAAAAATAAAATCTGAATTAAACTCAGCAGAATGGTGGGTATACTGGTATTTATTATATTATTCTCTGTCATTTCCACTGTGTTTACACTTTTTTTTTTTTTTTGAGGTAAGGTCTCACTATGTAGTTCATACAGGCCATGAATTCATTATGTAGCCCAGGCTGGCCTTGAACTCAAAGCAATCCTCCTGCCTCAGCCTCCCAAGTACTGAGATTACAGGCATGCACCACTATGCCCAGATTTACATTTTTAAAGTGAATAACTTTGAACTTTTCTTAATAGACCCTCATAAGTGATAAAAGTTTTAGATACTAAGGTTTCAATAAAATTTAATCACAACATTGTCCAAATTCTCACTGTAAAATATGTGTTTCAGTTTTAACTATGTGCTCTTATTTTAAATATGAGAGCTACTAAGACAAATAATAAACATCCTGATAATAGGGTAAAAGTTTTAAGACAAAAATATATGTACCTGTGGATAAAGATTGGCAAAGTACACACACACAAAACTAACAAGCTGTAGGGCCAGAGATGTAGCTCAATAGTGCTGTGCCCACCTAGCAAGTGCAAGGGCCTGAGTTTGATCCCCAGTAGAAAAACCAAACAAACAAAAAAATTAACAAACTAAAGCTACAAGCGTTTGGGGTGAAATTTCTTTGAATTTTTATTTTTGAAGTCTTAGTGACTAAAGAAATTCATTAAAATAAATATACTGCATTATGTACTTTCTGAAAAGTTTTACTGTGGAAATAATATAGCAGCACAGATTTAAGTAAATGACGCTCTAGAAATGCAAAGAAGTAATGAAGTTCGGTTACGTCTTTCTCCGAGTTTTTCTGTTGAATGATCAGGGCTAAATAAACAGATACAACAAAAGGACTTGGGTCAAACCTCTACCACCTCTCAGTTTTCAGGGCAATTGCAGTCAAAGTCACTGAGGAGTGATATTTTACTATCTCTTTAATTAGGGCGGGGCTTTTAAAACTCAGTTGTTCCATTTGTGTCTCAAATCAATCAGATGAAATTCACCTTTTACGTGGCCTGAATCTTGATAGCTCAGCACACTTGATAGGTAATTTAATCATGTCTGGCATAGACAAACACAAACCCAAATTAGCTCCTGAAAGAGCTGGGCTTCTCAGAGATAGCTGTGCTTTTCCACTTTTATGCAAGAGCTGAGCTTCACCAACTGGCTAGCTGGAGGTGTTATTAAAAATTTAGTGAAAGAAACAAAGGTGTGCTCCGGTGTCTCTTGTTACCCTTTCTACTGTTACTCCGGCAGACAAAAGGCATAGAGCCTGCTTCATGAATAATGTGACATGGAATATTCACAATCTATTTTTAATGGAGTCAAGTAATAACATTAAGAGAGATATTTGCAATCTTCAAATTTCACATGGTAATAGGCACAGTAATTTGTTTTGATTCTGAACTGTGGCTACCAAGATAAAAATTTTAAAAAAAAATTTTTTTAAAGTAGCTTCCTACTTATAGCATAAACAGGGAAAATGAAAATGGACCAGATATTCTAAATGTCAGCAGGGAAGAGCTGGAGAAAACAGACACCTGCGCTTCAATCAGTTCTACTTACCCTTCAGTACGACATCTTTACTTTTTCAAACCATGTTGGGGATGACCAACCAGTAGGCACAGTGAATTGTGTGGGAAAGGTGTTCTGAAATCATCATTCACTGGGAGCTTTGCCTCCCAGGACCCTATGCAGAGGTTCCTGGACACTGCAACTGTTTATTACCCACCAGTTCTGAAGAATAATCTTAAACTGTACTATAAAGTAAACAAATTTGGATTCATCATGAGTACTCTCACAGACGTGGAAAGACATGGTACTGGAAACCACAGGAGGACAGCCAAGGACTGAGATTTGGAGAGACCAAAGAAAAGCAGCATCAAAGCCCCTCTGACCCACCAACTCAGAAAGCCCTTTGTGTCTCATTTCTGGGACAGTCAAGTGATTTCTCATGTCTTTTGTGTTTTACAGAGTACAGCCAGCCTACTGGATGAAACAGGAGTTTATTTTCATCATTATGTGCCAGGCACTCTTATAGTGGCGGAAGATTCAGCAGCAACCAAATAATCAAAGCTCTGCAGGAACATTGTCCTCCCTGCTATATCCCCACCACCTAGAACCTTACTGGGTACCTAACAGTATGTGTGAAATTGATTTCAATAAGAATGGACAATCTGTGGTACTCATCGTAGACCACACGTCCTGAATGTCTGGTTAAAAGTGTTAGAACACAGGGAATAGGGATTTAGGACAAGAACTTAACCCAGTTTCATTCTCTTAAAGAATCCACAGGTAGAACAGAACAAGAAATAACCCAGGTCCCATTTTACTTTATTGTGTGTATCTTATTTTATGTTTGTTTGTTTTGTGGTATTGGGGATTAAAACTAGAGAGAACATCCCCAGTCCTTTTTATTTACTGATTATTGTGAGACAAGGTTGTGCTTGGTTGTCCAGACAAGATTCAAACTTGGGATCCTCCTAAGCCTCCCAAGTAGCTGGAACTCATTCATCTTTAGATTTGTAATTTGCTTTCAGTGAGTGGCTAACCAATCTCATACTTTTTCTCCTCTCCAGTTTCCAGAGAATCAAAGTAAACAGAGTTGGATGGAATGGTAGGACCATATCCACATTTTATGGTCAGGTCAGCTGGTATCAGGGAAGTCAGAGGAGTTGCCCAAATCAGACCAAAGCCTTGAATTCCTTGATTCATCTGGGAGACTCTGGCTGTAAAAACACAATTTGAGATTCTCAAAGAAAACAGCTGTTGTACCTATGGGCCCAACAGGGATTCTATAAGGTAGGATCTTAGTTTTATACAATTCCAGGGGTTTTGTTGTTATGAAAAATGTTTCTGTGAGACATTAAAGGAAAAAAATGGAAACGAGCAATTGGATTTTACTCTCTTTGTATGCTGCCTTGTCTGCTTCGCTTTTCCATTTCACTGTATTTTCCTTAAGTGCCAGCTTCCTCTACAGGAAAAACAAATTTCCTGCCTAAAAGAAAAGCAATCTGTAGTAATCTTAATACTTTATTAACTTAAACATCACTCTAATAAATATGTATTAACGAACATAACACACTCCAGAAGTCTAAAAACATGTACAAACCTAAAATACCTTTTCCCCTTATATGGTACACATGAAAGGCTGAAGAGCTAAATACAGAGCCTTTGCCCCTCACACACACACTCACGCCTACCATTCAAACATCTTAGAAATATCAAATTAACACTAAAAAACTTTGAAGTAACTCTGCAGTTACTTTTTTGTTTACACTGTATAAAATCTGAAAGGGTTGAAAGAGAAGGTTTGAGATTGTTGACTGTCTTCTCAGAAAGCCACTGGAGAACAAGAATAGACCCCAGTCATTTGAGGTGAAACCATTAGCTTTTGAGAGGCAGAGACAGAATGAGACTTGAAACTCTGGCTCCCCGGTACCTACCATGATGCCTAGGACCTTGGTACCAGTGGTCAAAAAACAGTTGCAGAGTGAATGAATGACTTCCTGTCCACAGGCATTGTTCCATTTTTTTAAAAACCTCTTCTGATGAGGCCTTCATAGGCTTCTTACCAAGAGGACCTTAAATCCCCTTACCACCAAGTCCACTTTTTTGCTTCTTCCTGGGGTGAGCATAATGGTGCATCTGGTGATTTTGAAAGAATAAAGCTCCTTCCCCAAATCAGTTTCTGAACCAGTCTTCAAGGAGGAGAAATGATTCCCCCAAGATCTACATTACATGCAGTGCCCAAAAGAAATGGGGTTAACAGAGTTCTCAGAAGAAGCATTAACCACAGTCTAGATAGAAAGCAGCATTAACGTGTCCACTTGTAAATGGTGATTCCTCCTCTTCGACACAGTTATCTGAGGAATTCAGAAAAGGAAAGACACTTGAAGGATTTCTGCCAATGGAAAAGGATGGAAATGCCAAGCTTTTATCATCCCCATTTGACTTCATATCTTCATGTAGAGGAGATTAAAGCCTAGGAAGTTGCTGTGGTTCCCACTCTGAGAAGAACTCCGAAAAGTACCTCAATCCCTCTGGCAGCTCCAGGAAGTAAGGTGAAGGGGAATCACTCTGGTGGGATCTGCAGACTGGCCTGGAGGGCCTGAGAAGTCCAAATGGGCTGGAAGCAAGCAGAAGCTGCCTCTGTAGTGTTGTGTCACTGCTGTTTGCAGCCAGCCGAGGTGCTCATTTGAGCCCATGCTGTGTCTCCCGGTGCCTCCTGAGATCCACCTTCCTCTGGAAACCCTTCCCACACAAGTCGCAGCCAAAGGGCTTGAAGCCTGTGTGTTTACGGCTGTGCGTGATGAGGTTGGAGCTCTGGCTGAATGCCTTGCCACACACCTGGCACTTGTGGGGCTTCTCACCTGCGGGATGGAAGGGGGAGGGGAGGAAGTATGAGTCTGTGATAAACTAGAGGGGACCCACTGTGACCCACATGCTCTTGGCAGCAGCTGGCTGCACCACAATCTAAGACCTTCAAGCAAGTTGGAAGATGAACGTGAACAGACTCCCAGGCTGCAACTCAGTCCTGGGAAAGCATGGGTACACCAGGTGGAAGGAAGACTTTCTGAGTGGGGGTTCCCAGCTGAAGGCCTCAAACCGTTTCCTGCTAAACAGAAACAGAGCAAAGGCCACGTGCCCTCCCCAGCTGAATCCACCCTGGGAGGGCTGCCCTGACTTCAGAAGCTGAGAGTACCCAGAACAGATGTTCAACAGGAGGTGGGAGGAGCCTGTCCTACAAACCATGTGATTCTGCTCTAATTCAGAGGAAGTTTTCAAATCTGAGTTTCCACGTGGGTGTTGGTTTAGTATGGACCAGTGCGCCCATCTACCTTCTTGTTTGTGAAGGACTCGGCATGTATATGGGGCACAGACATTTCTCAGCCTTTTTTAAAAAATCCACATTTGAGCCATAAAATATTTATTAAAATACTTGATCTTTTCCTGTCTTGATTTTACTTTCTTTTTCAAAAACTTTTGTCTTTGCCCCATTTTGGGGTAAATTTCCAAGTAGTCCCAGCATGGCATTAGTAGGGGCTCAGCTTTGGGAAAACAATGCAAAACAGATGAAGTTTGTTTTTGAGGAAACTTCTTCCTGCTGCACTCTCTTCTCTCTTCAAGCTTCAGATTTCTTGGATAAGGAATCACCCCTCAAACCTTTAGGGTCACACAAATCTGAGAAACAAATTCTAGCTATAATGTAAATGTTTGATAAGGACTTATTAAAGTTTCATTCAGTCAAGAGCCTAGTTGCATTTTGATGCACTTTAAATACTTTTACTTATAAGGAGTGAATTATGTGGAAATTTTAGGCAAGAGGAATCATTAAAATAGGCTTTTCTTCTGTTTTCTGATAGGAATATCTATATACTGGGAAAGCATATTATTAACATCAATGCATGCCTGAAGCACAGCACAATTTGTTATAAATACTCATATTCTATAATAAAGTTGTCAGAATTCTCAAGTGTGATGTAAATGTCTTGACTATTAAATAGAGCACTTGTGGAGGCAGGAGGATCACTTGGTTTGGCATTAAAACCTTCACCTGTACATAAAGTGTTAGAAAACGAGTACAGGAGTGGAAGCCAGAATATTCAATGGCTCCGTGATTTACTCTGATTTTTGGTAAATCGTTCAATGTCTAAGTTTCCAGATGGTAAGAGCAGCTGTTTCTACTTTATGAGGTAGAAGGAAGGATCAAATAAAATGACAGATTTAAAAGCACTTTGTAAATTATAAAGCATTATAATAAGTAAGGAATTATTGCTATTAAGGCTTGACATTTTGAAAAGGGCAATAAGTGAAAAGAAGCTTTCCATATTTATCAACTCCCATAACTTTGGAAGTAGAATACGATAAACAGGTCAAGAGCACAGACATTTGAGAGGTCAGATAGATCTGAATTTGAGCTCTGGCCCCACCACTTGTTAGCAGCATGACCCTGTGCAGGTTACTTAATCCTTCTCTGCCTCATTTTCCTTGTCTCTAAAATGGGGAAAAGGAATGGTTTCTCTCATGAGCATGAGATCATCCATGTTAGCAGAAAGCTTAGTAATATTTGCTATTGTTAATTCTCACATAGAATAAGCTCTCTGATTCCTCAAAGTACAACACAGAGGTTACACATGAGCCTTTCACCCAAAAAGCTCAGTAGGACCCCTACAGAAGTTTTCCATCTGTAGGCAACACTCACAGAGGATCCTAGAACCTCTTTCATATTTCACCCACAGCAGGCAGCAGTTGGAGTGGCTGCTAAACTAAAGGAAACATTCTTTCCAAGGATAGAGAACCCAAAAGCTGAGAAGCTGGTCCTAAAAACAATCTCAAATCAAGACCCCATGGAGAGAACCACGAACCAGGCTCTGTTTCCTTTAACACAGACAGTGATTAACGTGATCTGCCCACCATGTACTGGAGCCAGAACATCGGAGAAGGTGAGTTATGTTGGCCTTGGCGTGTTCCTACAAGCCAAGGACCTTCAGCTTACCTGTGTGGATGAAGGTGTGTTTTTTCATGTCTGACTTCTGGTGGAACCTCTTGCCACAGTACTGACAGGGGTAGGGCCGAGTGTCTGAGTGGATAAGCAGGTGTGTGGACAGTGTGGATGACCTCTTGAAGCTCTTGCCACAGATCTTACAGTCAAAGCTGCGTTCCTACACAGAGACATAGAGAGACACAGATAGAGAAGAGAGAAGGGAGGAAGGGAAGAAGGGAGGAAGGGAAGGACTTTCCACTGTACAGGTAAATTATGGCCTACATGGACAGGGCACTAGTGCACTCACAAAAGAAAACAAGAGAACAACTTTTTGGTGCACTTGAAAGCTTTGTTGCTTGAACCTAGAAACTCTAATTTCTATAATTCCACTGTGCAGCTGGTTCATGTGTCCCAAGTTAGAATTTATGTTATACTTTTTAAAGTAGAAGCAAAAACAGACACTTCCAGTATCTAGAGAGAGATATTACTCCACTGCTGTCACCCTCCTCACCACAAAACTGATCCTACAATCCCAAAAGCTATGGCTCCCCTTCCACGTAGCCTGCAACATTATCCCCACCCTCCCACTCATTTCCTCTCGCCACACTCTCCACCCTTTCCTTGAACACTTTTTCTACCAAATCAGTTTTCACCCACAACCCTCCACACCTCATGGCAGAAAATTTATCCCCACCCTGCATTTTTGACACCCGATACATACACTGCACCCTCTTTAACAGAAGGCTGAGACACGTGAGACGCCCCTACCCCTCAGCCACTGTGGGTATCGAAGGAGATGGAGTGATACATTTTAGTCAATAAATCTTTAAAAATAAGCATTCTCCTTTGATAGTTGTTTGTGTATTTATTTACTCTCTGTCAGCTGGTCTGTAATCTACATACAGGCATCCTGGTAAGGGTCTGGATGCTATGGGATACTCAAATACTTGGCACCTGGGAGTTAGGCAACAAACAATTTTAAACCAATGAATGAAACGTGCTCCTGGGTGCTCTCAGAGAACTAAGATCCCACCTTTTCAGTCAGGAGAGGTCAGTGCAAACTAACCATTTGGCAAAAACAAAACAAAACGGGCAAAGAAACAAGCTACTACATCTGATAAATCAATAGCAAGCGTCAATGCACACAAACCTTCCTGAAACCCACAGGAATGATCAGGGTCGATTCTGGAGACTCAATGATGTGGTACCAAAATCTAAGGTTGCCTCAAAGTATGAGCTGTCTACCACCCATTTTTCTCTACACACCTATTCCAGGGGAAAGGGACCTGCAGAAGACTACAGGCAGCCCGGGAGAAAACTACCAGGCAAAAGGCGACTGGCGCTGCGAGAGGCGAGGCCGAGCAGAGGTCCCTGGGCGCCAAAACCGGAGCCGGGCCGCGCGAGGCGCACATTCTGCGCTTACCTGCGAGTGCACGGCTTTGTGCTGCTCCAGGCTCACTGCGTGCCCGAAGGTCTTGCCGCACATCTCGCAGGCAAAGGGTCTCGTGCCGCTGTGGGACCTGCGCACGTGCACCTCGAGCCCGTGCGGCGTGGAGAACACCTGAGGCGGGTGGGGCCGGGGAGAAGGCCGCTGAGAGGGGCTGCGGGATGCGGGCGCTGACTGGACGAGGGC